TCCTATGCCCTTCGGCGACACCATAGCCTACGGTGTATACCCCAGGTTTCTGCTGGGGTCTACACCGTAGGCTAGCTACACCACTGCATAGACATTATAATACTAGTTCATGAAAAAATTAGCCATCCATTCTTTTATTCTTGTTGAATGATAGTCCTTGAAACTATGTTCAAATATACTTGGATCAAGCACACTCGTGAAACTGAATAAGTTTCTTACGCAGTCCACGGGATAAAGCCTGGTTCACTGACTAGCAATTTTGTCGGTGATTTTGTGTTTCTGATGGATGCAAATGAGTGAACTCGCACGCAAAAGTGTCGAGTGTCAATTCTATAAGTCTTCTGCATGTCATTCATTTGATCACATTTGCCATGCAGGAGGAGAAAAATCGCCGACATGCAGAATTGCTAGTGTGAACCAGGCTTAAAGTTTGATTGCACACATCCTAGTTCATATCCACATTTTGGGAAGTATTCTGCTTTTTCCAGGTTGATTTGCTAGATATGTCCACTGTGGATGTGATACTGATATCAAATTGTTTTTTTATGTTCGCACTGCCATACATCACAGAGGTATAATATTTTTGCATGTAATACTACCGAAGATTTGTGACGTGTATATTGTGGATTGTGCATGTATTTCTTCACTTGCGAGTTGCATTCGTTTCTATTTTGCTGTGTTATGATATCTTCTAGCATACGAACTTTTCTGGTACAATCTACGCAACAGAACCTACGCTTCAAATGGGAAGGTAATACTTTCATCTTACATGGTATACACCTGTTGAACATATTTCTTCATTCTTTATTCTTTATAGACATTATTTCATTAAAATGGTCCCATTTGAACATGCTTACTCCATGAGTTATCAGGGTTCCAAATAGAAGCTGGCACCCATGCGATTTTCGCCGTTTATAACCTAGACAATCGCTAGTTATTTCTCGAAATTATAAGCCAAAATATTTCCTACTCACCTTAATTAGTAATGTCAAGGGAAGCGTTTGTCGCTTTCAAACCACACATTTTACACGATATTCTTTGTTAAATATTTGGATATGAAATTTCGAAAACTAGTGTTCAAAATGACTAGAAATGCCATTTCAAAGTGTCTAAATTTCAAAATCTTCATGCATTATGTGAAGGTCCACTCCCATCCCTAGATGAGTGGTACTGTAACTCTGGCGCTAAATACCGCCTACTTCTTTCAAAAAGTCTCCTACTCCAAATTCTATTACGAAGTTGGGGAACCCTGTGAGTGAGTTATACTACTTCGTTTGCCATGAAAAGAAGTTGTTCTTTCGTTATACTGTAGTTTTACATTTATATGGATATAGTAATTCTCTTAAATGCATAGTGTTTATAATATACTCAGTCTCGGGTAGTTTAATCAGCACTTTATTGACATACGTATGCTATTTATACAAACTGTTATGAATATATTACAATGACTAATTAGGACAACTGATTAACATATATTACACAATCTTGACTATACTACATATCTTCCCCCTAAGTTTATTTATTTATTTTTTTGTCCGTTTTCTAAACTTACGTTTCTTAAAAATGTGTCAATAAATAACCTAATTAAATAATCGTCTTGAATATTAACACTTAGAATGTCAAAGTTCATAATCGTCTAGTTTCTTGGGTCTTCTCCTTTCTCTCGTCGGATAACGTCGAGTTTGAGTTTCAGGAGCTTGAGTTTCAGGAGCTTGAGTTTCCTCTGTGGAAGTATTACTTTCTTGAATTTCTTCGGGAGCAATAATACTCGAATCTTTAGTGCTCGAGGAACTTATTTGGTCCTGATGACGTCGTACCATTTTTCCATCATCTAATGCAACTTTCGCAGAAATTGGGCCCGTAGACTCAACGACTTTTCCAGCAGTCCATGGAAACTTCGGGTTTGAATAATTTCTCACGAAAACATCGTCACCAATGGAGACTGAACGCTGTCTTACGTGTTCATCACAATGTCTCTTCTGCTTATGTTGAGCATAACGTACAGTTTTCCCAACATCTGGCTGTAATAATGTCAAGTGTGATCGTAACTTGGTTCCCCATCTTAATTCCGCGGGCGATATACCTGTCGTGGTATGCGGTGTGGTTCTATACTTAAATAGGAATCGAGATAAACGAGTTTGCAAAGTTCCACTCTGCTTCTTCATCGCTTTCTTGAACGTTTGCACAGCTCTTTCGACTAAGCCATTCGTTGAAGGATGATAAGGGGCAGATTTTACATGTCGAATTCCATTTTTTTCATGAATTCCTCGAATTCCTTGCTCACGAAAGCTGGACCATTATCAGAAACTACCATCTCCGGTAATCCATGATTTGCAAATGTCATGCGGAGTTTCTCGACCGTTGACTGAGTATTGCACGAGTTGGTTATGTGAATATCCAACCATTTCGAGTGAGCATCGATTATCAGTAAAAACATCTTGCCCATAAAAGGGCCTGCGTAATCGATATGTATACGGGACCATGGTCAGTGTGGCCATTCCCAGGGATGTAAAGGTACTCTTTGGGGTGTCCTCTGGTGTACTTGACATGTTGAACATTTCTTTGCCTTTTCTTCTATTTCTTTATCGATTCCTGGCCACCAAACATGTCCACGAGCTAAACTTTTCATTCGTGACATTCCCGGATGAGTATCGTGTAAAAGATTCAGGACGTCCGTTCTTCCTTTGGGAGGAACCACTACCCGCGATCCCCATAACAGACATCCATCTTGAACACTAATCTCGTCTTTTCGTGTGAGGTAAGGCTTAATGTTCTCATCATTCACTTGCGATGGCCACCCTTGAAGTGTAAACTTAAGTACTTGTGATAGTACGGGGTCTCGCAAGGTCCACTGTTTGATCTTCAAAGCATCCACTGGACTTTGATTGAGGTGGTCCACCAAATTTACTACTTCTTGTGGTATTGGTGTAGACTTTGGCTCAATTTTCAAAGGTAGTCTGCTAAGAGCATCTGCATTTCCGTTTTCTTTACCAGGACGATATATCAGGTCATACTCGTACGCTGCTAAAGTCAAAGCCCATCATTGGATTCGGCCGGATGCCATTAATGGTACGGGTTTCTCACATTTGAAAATCCCAAGTAGTGGCTTGTGATCAGTGTAAATAGTGTAATGTCGGCCATATAGAAATTGGTGGAATTTCTTGACCGCAAATACCATAGCCAATCCTTCTTTATCCAGCTGAGAATACTTCTTTTCGGCAGATGTCAATGTTCGCGATGCAAAAGCAATCGGTCGTTCACTCCCATCTGGCATCTCATGAGATAAAACCGCTCCAACACCATAGGGTGAAGCATCACAGGATACGGTTAATTTCTTGTTTGGGTCATAATGGACTAACACTGTTGCAGATTGTAACAAAGTCTTAGGTCGTTCAAATGCACGAATCTGTTCTGTGTTCCATTTCCATCTCTGATTCTTACGAAGTAGCTGGTACAGTGGCTCTAACTCAGTTGACAGATTTGGTAAGAATTTACCATAGAAATTGAGCAATCCCAAGTATGCTTTCAACTCGGTAACATTGGTAGGTGTAGGTGCTTCTTGAACTGCTTTCACCTTGGCTTCAACTGGATAAATACCCGTTTCGTCGATACGGTAACCCAAACACTCGAGGGTAGGTTGCATAAAACGACACTTCGACTTCTTTAGACGTAACCCAGCTTCAGAAAGACGCTTCATCACTTCTTCCAGGTTCTGAAGGTGTTCTTCATCCGTCGGTCCAGAAATCAAAATGTTATCAAGGAGGATGCCAGTGTATGGAATTCCGTTGAGTAAACTTTCCATCGTTCTTTGGAAAATTCCAGGCGCAGATGATACACCATATGGCAGACGGTTGTACCGGTACAAACCACGATGCGTGTTTATCGTTACCACGTCCTTCGAGGCGTCGTCCAGGACCATCTGTTCGTAAGCGTGGCTTAAATCGAGCTCAGTGAATGTTTTCCCTCCTGCCAGTTTATTGTGAACTTCTTCCATCTTAGGTAAAGGGTAGGCATCCAAACGGGAAACTTTGTTCACAGTCCTTTTGTAGTCCCCACACAATCGAACACTTCGTCGTGTCAGGTTTCATGATTGGTACCACTGGCGTTGCCCAATCTGAATACTGTACGGTTTCAATTGTTCCTTGTCTTTCGAGCCTTTCGAGTTCCTTTTCAATCTTAGGTTTCATCGTGTATGGTACCGACCGAGCTTTACAAAAAATCGGTTTCGTTGACGGGTCGACGTAAATCTTGGCAGTCACGCCATTCAATTTGCCTAATTCGTCTGTAAACAAGTCGTCGTACTTGTTTAAAACCTCTTCTAAGTTAGGCTTGGCTAGTCGTTTGATGCTTGTCCAATTTAAGCAAATGTTTTCAAGCCAATTTCGACCAATCAAATTAGGACCATTGCCTTTCAGCACCAATAAGGGTAACCGACTAACTTGGTTATTGTATTCGACCACCACTTCAGTAATTCCCTTCGGAGATATTTTCTCACCAGTGTAGGTACGTAAGGAAATTTCAGTTTGTTTTAAGTCGAGATTTCCTTTACCGCGACTAATTTCTTGCAATGTTTTCTCATTAATCACCGAGAACGATGCTCCCGTATCAATCTCCATGTTGATATCAATACCATTCACTGTCATTTTTTCGCGATACGGCGGTGTTTTCTCTTTGTCTTTGAAGCTGAATAAATTATACGCTAGCTCTTCGTCGCTTTGATGCTGTTCAACTTTATTCATTTCCGAATCCCGTCCTTTTTTCCCCCGAAAGTTTTTCCCTTGCTTTAGTCGTTTCTCGCTTGAAACCTTCTTAGAACTTCGGCACACTTTCGCTATGTGTCCAATTTTACCGCATTGATGGCACTTTTCAGTTTTAAAACGGCACTTTGTATGGTCGTGTTTACCACCACAACGATAACATTCTTTGTATTCGTCGCTGTGTCTACCGCCGTGTAATTTATTCATCGAGTGTTTATTTGGCATTTCTCCCTTCAAGTCACGAACATCTTTAGCGGCTGTTTCCATCCCGTGTGCAATTTCTAAAGCTCGTTTTAAATCTAATGTCGGTTCAGCCAGTAAACGTCTCTGTATTCGATCTTCGTTGACACCACAGACTAATCGATCTCTCAACATTTCATCTAATGCACTACCGAACTCACAATGTTCAGACAATGCCCGAAGTTCGGCCATAAAAGTCGAGATTGATTCGTCGTTTCTTCTGACCCGAGTATTAAATTTATAACGTTGTACAATTACTGATGGCTTTGGAACATAATGGTTTTTTATAGCTTCAGATAATTCTTCATATGACAATTTGTTCGGAACCTCTGGCCGTATTAAACCTCGCAGTAGTTTATAGGTTTTCGCACCTATAACACTCAGGAAAATCGAGCGTTTCTTATCTTTGTCTTCGATATCATTCGCTTCGAAATAGTGATCCATTCGCTCCACATACTGTGTCCATTCTTCACTCTCGTCGTATTCATCTATTCGACCGTACGTAGCCATGTTACGCCTTAATTTTTTACCTACGTCGCCAATATAATATACTCAGTCTCGGGTAGTTTAATCAGCACTTTATTGACATACGTATGCTATTTATACAAACTGTTATGAATATATTACAATGACTAATTAGGACAACTGATTAACATATATTACACAATCTTGACTATACTACACTGTTAAGATTAGAATGTTGATAAGTATCAAGTATCACTGTCTTGGTATTGACCAATCAGGTGATCGTATTCACCGTTCAGAATCTAAACGGCGTGTAGTCATGAAAGGTGGGCTTTCCTGCAGGCCCTCTTTCCTCCCCCGGAGCCCGCCAAAATCCTGCCCGCTGCAAATCAGGCCCCCCATAAAATCGAGGGCCTGCCACGCAGGCTATACGAAGGTGCGAAAGTAGAGATCAAATACGAAAAGGAACTTTACGAAGCACAAATTCTGAAAATTCACTCTAAGTTTAATATTAGAGATATAAAAATCTAGGTCTGTAACGCTTGTGTATAAGCATAAAAACGTGGTGTGAAATCGCTAACATGAATATTTTCCGATGCCAACGTTTCTTGTAAAGCGTTTCAGATAGATTATCAACTATCTTTTTGAAATGATCAAAAACCATTCACATAAATTTTTCAAATCCTGGTGTGTCGTGGGCAGCCAGATCGGGAAGAAGCTGACCGAAATACTGTAACCTTTGTTTTTTCTCAGTCTCTAGAAGCCAGTGCCGGCTCCAAATACATTTCTTTTCTTTAACCTCCTCGTCATCTTCTTCCAGCAAAAGCATTGCAGCTATGACCACAAGTTCTGTCTTCGACGCCATGTTGTTGTCAGTGACGTTTGCGAATTGCGAAACACTAGTGCCCGGTTTTTTCATGCAAATAGTTGCGACGTGGCTAAGCTATCATTGCTCGTGTCACCACTTCACTCGCGCGAGTACCGCAATGAAATTTAACCCGTTGCAAAGGCGTTGCGTTGCCGGCGCGAGAAAAAAATCGCACGTATAACTGGACCTTAATATGTCATTTCGCTTGTCAAAAAGTGAACTTTTAGAACATAAACAACGGTGGATTACAAAATGTTTTAGAAAAAAACAAAAACTAACCTCATTGCACATTGTTTATCTGGTGAGATAGGACAATCTTTTGAAATAAATTTCCCAGTTAAAAATATCACATGATTTATCCAGCGCGGTAATCAATGCTAATATGCATTTTCAATTTATAAAGCGGACATTTCACAGGCTACTACTGATCACTGGCCTCACTCTATTGAAAATATCACGCACCCGATGAGTCAAAGCTGTTATATTGTGGCTGTTTGGCATCATTTGAAAACAGAAAATTTTGCATTAAATTAAGCAAATTGTGCATAAAATTAAGCAAAATACAATCACGAAAAATTATCAGGGTTTTTTTTTTCGGTATCGGTTTTCTGGGGTTTTTTTCAAATACCGCAACAGCCCAGAAATATCGACCGCCATTTTGTTTTGCGCAAAGAGTGTTTCCACTTTTCAAAACTGAAATTTCCTCCAAATTTTCAAGAAGGAAATTTGCGAATCGATTTTTCCTGTCTAATTCGAACCCTGAACTATTACTATATTTTTACAAATTTTGCTAACTTGCTAGTTTATTTTTTACAATTTACCTAGGTTTACTTTTCAGTAAATTTAAGTGATTCATCTAGGCTTATGGATTCATAATTATAAGCTATAAAGTATAAAGTTTTAAATTTTGGATATACAGTATGGTGGGCTCACATTTAGTCATCGGTTTACATGCAAAACAAAGGCCTTAAAAAGCAGTCAGAACTGTTTACTTCATCCAGAATTTTGGACGTTGGCAGAGCCTCATTCTCTCAGTGAGGGGAAATCAGGCTCTTCTCTTTGCTAATATTAGCCATTTGCTAATATTAGCCAAACAGATTTAAGAATTGGCCATGCATTATGATCGATGGCTTTTCCATGTTTATTTACATGTTCTATGCATAGTCGAAACTTTAAACTTATACATGGGGAAACTTTAAACATTTTTGAGTTTTGAACTGTTACTGTCATGTAATTTTTCACTCCATGGATTGCAATGTCCTACAAGCATGACAAGTCGATTTGCTCTTGTTATGGTAGTACAGAAAATTGATTGTAATATGGTAGTACAGAAAATTGCTCTCATGGTAGTACAGAAAATTGATACATAATTAAACCATATAGATATCTTATATAGACTAGATAGCACATCTCTTTTAGTAAAATTTAAGCCAAGAATATTCCAGCGGTTACCCCCATTTGAATAGATGGCGGCCATGTTGGAGTTTCCCACTCGCTAATAAACGCTTAAAAACAACAATAACTTTCATCATTTGAATAGTTTAAAAATGTATTTGGAGTAAGTTTACCTTAATATTTAAGTTCCGTGTTTAAGAAATAGAAAATATGCGAATCTTCTCATTTCATGGAATATCCCGAGTCTGCAATCACGGCTTCAATTTTTGAATTGTAGAATAATTAGATGCACTATCTAGTGTATATAAGATATCTATGAATTAAACCTGTTAAATTTGCAGAGTTAGCTTAATACTGTAGCTACTTCTGTGAAACTGCAGGGAGAATAAAAAGAAAGGTTTTTCGTGTGTGCTACAGCTTTATGTTCTGTATGCATACCCCGTGCCTTTCTGACAGATTATTGTTCTTCATACAGTATATACCAATTGTTTTTTACCATTTCATACCAAGTTTTGCATGGTACTATCATGTAATTTTTCACTCCACGGATTGCAATTTCCTGCAAGCATGACAAGTCGATTTGCTCTCGCCTTGTTGCTGCGCTTGGGAGCTCAAGCTCGGCCGTTAATTTTTCACTCGCTCATTTTACTCTTTTAAGTACAATACGAGACAAGTTACAATGAGTTACAGTACAATGCGAGTCGACTTGTAGCAAGTCTAATGTACATACAACATTCACAGTTTTTTGGACAATAAATTTTCCTGAACTTTGCCCACCTAACCCCAACAGTTACCTTAGCATGGCTAGCCATATTTGGAGGAAATGTCATACCTTGTGGGCCAAACATATTGAGACACATCCATAAACAACACATGCTTATCATCTTTATTTGAAGATACATGTATATGCTTGAGAGCTCTCATGAAAATGTTTACAAAATTATCTAGATTTCTAAAAGAAAGTCTTCGGTAGAAGCTGGGGACGGTTGTTCAAAGTACGATTACTGCAAGCCCTGTGTTATGTAGTTTAACCTGCCATTTTGGTTTGTGTATTTCTGCATGTCTTTCAAAACTTTAGAAAATAAAGTTTCCAAAAAGATTTCTGGAAAAACAATTTTAAAAGTTTGTTGTGAAGATCGCTTTGAATTTGTTGTTTGTTGCAGTTATTGTTTTACCAATTTAGTGGTTTCAAGAAACGTGCTCCTCGTGCAATCAAGGAAATCAGAAAATTTGCAGAAAAAACTATGGGAACACCAGATGTTCGTGTGGATACCGGCCTAAACAAGCAGATCTGGTCTCGTGGTATCAGGTATTTACTATTTCCCCAACACTGTATCATGAACTTTCTAGAAGCTGATGCTGCTGATTGTTAACCCAGTATATAATTTGTGATAAGTAGTAAGTACCAACTGCGAGTAACATACTAACATGACACCACTTGCAAGTTTCGTGTGTGTGCGAGTGGCGAGTTACTAGTCACTTGTGATTTTCCAGTGGGCAAATGACGACTCAATCATGAGTGAGTAAAGGGTGTGGTTAACACTGTTTTCCATCCAGCAAACCGCCTTATCGATTTTCTAAAGTTGTTTCTTTTTGGATTTTCTTTTATTAATTCGGTTAGGGTTAGGGTTAGGGTTAGATTTAGGATTGCAGTTAGGGTTAGGGGTTAGAGTAGGGGTAGGGTTTGGGTTAGTTACACAGCCATTTAACACTTCTTCCATCTTCCGAAAATGACGTCAGGACTCAGGTCAGTTTGCTGGATGGAAAATAGTGCTAACCAAAGAGGGTGAAGTCACTGAAGTGTGCAAGTCCAATTTGCGTTAGAAATATAACAACATTGAGTTAACATGCCAAAACAAAGACAAGTAAACAGGATTAAAAGGCTGTATACTGTACATGTACTTCTTTTTTATTACGGTTTCTTTCCCACAGTGTAAATGAAATCGCCTTATAGACAGCAACTACTTGTTTGTTAATTTTTAAAGTATGAGCTCTTATAAAACATGAGTAAAAAAATATCTTTGGATTTCTGAAAAATTTTCTGCTGATGTTCTAAATGAGCATGAATGCGACACGCAACCTTCTGTCCTTTACACTTCAACACAATCCATAAAGTGTATTGTAAATTTTGCCATTGTCAATAGCCTAATAACAAGTACTTGATGATAAATGTAACCAGCATTGCCTGTTGTAATATGGTCTGCTATGCAGGCTTAGGAAACACCTAAAAGTCTGTGTGATTATTTTAATATGGATAAAACCAACCTTGAACAGTAAATAGAATGTCTAGTTTCATTGTTAGTGAAGATCACACTCTATTTGGTTAGAGGATAAATCTGTTCTGTATATATGTACTAAGTACTTGTACTGTATAGTCATGGAAATGCAGTGATTATTTCAGCAATTATTTTGCTATATGCAGCCTATATACTATATTGGTTACTGTTATATCACCTTGAAATATATTGGAACAAGTTTTTTCTGTATATATTGCATGCTTTGCACATTGTCTCTTTTTAAAACGTATGACCTATCGAAATGTTCAAATCCTTCCAATCTATTTGAGTTAACGTTGACACAAATGAATGTTGACAACTCTGAAATATTTTACTTAAAATGCTTTTTGGCTGACCAAGAGTTTAAAAACCAATTCTACAGGTAGTTTTATTTGCCAAGCAACATTACTGTACTTTGCCCTTGGGAAAACTAACAAAATCTGCACACATGCTCTTGGTATGGTGTTGGCACCTAGTATTTTAGTGCACCACTTTGTAGCATGGTAGAACAGAAAATTGATACATATTAAACCTGTTAAATTTGCAGAGTTAGCTTAATACTGTAGCTACTTCTGTGAAACTGCAGGGAGAATAAAAAGAAAGGTTTTTCGTGTGTGCTACAGCTTTATGTTCTGTATGCATAGCCCGTGCCTTTCTGACAGATTATTGTTCTTCATAACCATACATATACAAACATACCAATTGCTTTGCACAATGCAGTAACTGTTGTGTTTTTCATACACATAAAATCCATATCTACTGCACACCAGTCTTCATATTGTCAATCGTTGTTAAATGTTTAGATTGAGCACATACTGTATATCATGGAAGCAAACCCGGTCAAATTTTACAGTAAAGCTACGTTTTGTAATTATTTGACCACAGCGTCGTTCTAGGTTTTTGCAATCCCAAATAAATGGTGTATTTCTATTCTAATCGAAATTCGGTAAAACATTGCAATTGTTGTAAACATCAGGCACAAACACCGGGAGTTAATAATAACCACAGTTATTTTAATAGATGGTTTGGAGACTCGTAAATGACAATATAACTCATTAACTATGTTATTGTCCAGCTTTATGCAAGAATTTGGTCCTATCTCGTCACGTGTGTATTGTATTTTCGCTCAAATAACCAATAACAAGTTTGTGTTTGAGTTATCCATCCGTAACTTGAACAAATGCTCAATTTAAACATTGCTATTGGTTGTGCGGGAAAAAAATACAATACACACGTGACGAGATAGGCCCAAATTCTTGCATAAACCGAAACCAACATAGTTAATGAGTTATATTGTACTTTCATCGAGTCTCCAAAGGTCCATGTATTCTATTAACTGTGTAATAACCAACTCGTGTGTTGTCGTGGTCACCACGCTTGCCTTTCAAGCTGGGAGACTCGGGTTCAATCCTTGGTCGGATCTCCACTCCCAGGTGATCTCGTGTTCGTATTTTAGCCAATCAGCGCTCAGAAAGGGTTGTCCGAATAGAAATCCATTTTGATGTATTCAGTCAATTATATCTTTCGTTATTCTTTATGAAACTAGTTGAAATTTTGTAATTATGTTTGCTTATGAGAACTATAGCTCTGACAAAAATATGGAATAGAAATAAAGTATATTACAGGAGATATTCAGTTGTTTTAATCATAAAATGGATTTCTATTTGACAACTAGTGCCAGTACTTTTCCGCGTATCAAGATCATCTGGTCGAGGTCTTAAAATAATCGAGGAGAAAGTGCTGCCTTGACACTGACATCAGTAAATGGTTAGACTTTCGCCTCTTCTCGGAGCGTTAAAATCGTAGGCACCTCGGACAAGGACGGATTTTCTGGGGGGGGGGGAAACCCCTAGCCCCCCCCCCCCCTAGGAAAATTTGCACACCCCCCCCCCAAAAAAAAGTAAATGGTCAAAAAATAAGTTCATATCTTTGTGTGCACGCTCTCTTTAGACAAAAACATAATTCGTTTCGTTCTTTACCCACTAGTGTCACTCGCTGGTGCTTATGTTCTCCACGCCTGTTACCAGCTCATATGTTACATTCTAGCGCTTACGTGTTACGTTCTGGCAGGGCGCAGTAAAACACATGTTACGGTCAGCACTTACGGTTACGCTGTAGCGCTTACGTTCTTGTCCGGAATGTACAATGGAGAATAAGAGAAAACAAAGTACACTTAGCGCTTTCTTGAAGAAAAAATCAGAAAATAGAATGATTTGCCTCATTTTGTTGAATGGAAAGAGTTAAGGGGGTCTACTACCATTTTTTTCTCTCTTTATATTAATGGTATGAAACTAAACATTTAGTATGATGTAGGATTAGGTACCTTGACAAAAATAAACTTGGAACACATCATTGCCAAGGATACTAAGATATGACGCCCTCAATGGTAAAATAGTAGATTTTTACAAACACGATAACGAGATAAATAAAATCGAAAAAAGGAATAACTTTTATTTTGGCGCAAACAATAGGTCTAGGAGTTTCGGTAAAATTGTTACTATTCCACCCCAAATCAACCAAATACATTTATTTTAGTTCATCTCCAAGACAGATTCGTAAATATTTAGCTCGGGAAAATTTCGTTAGCATAAATACTCTTTGAGTTATGCACGTTAAATTGGAAATTGGATTTTTTGACAAGATGAGAAAACCACTTTTATATCCGACAAAATCGAGAAAATTCGCGATAAAATTTGCGAAAATCACTATCACAACTCGGTGCGCAGCACCGAATGGTGACATCTACGTGAATATTTATTTCATTTCACTGCTTTTTTCGTATTGGACCCCCTTTAATAAGAAACTGAAGATAGAATATTGATAGATCAGACCAAACTAATGTTGTTTCTTTTTTATCATAATATTTCATTGTAATGTTTCATTGAAAGAGTAAAGCACGAGTTAACTTCGAAGGCCGTAAAGTTAACCTTATGCAAAGGCCGAAAATGCAGATAAACACATTTCAGAGTGTTCAAAATAAAAAAATATGGAGGAGTAAGCCCCCCCTGAATTTTGGGCACACCCCCAGAGCAAAATCTGAAAATCCGTCCTTGACCTCGGACCCCGTGTCAATTGGGCAATAGCCTGTTTGGAAATCCGCTCACCAATGAGTGAGAAACTCAGGGCCTGTTCATATGGGCAAAAGTTATCCCGGTTAGCGAGAAAACTTTTTCGACAAGTTTTAAACTTTTAAGCGAGATCTCGTCTTGGTATGAAAATAATATGAAAAGTTACACTGCGTTCATATGAGACAAAAAGGTTTCCCGTGTACCGAGATCTCGCTTGTTGACAGGCGAGATCTCGGTGACCGGGATAATGTTTTTCCCATATGAACACAACTTTCCCGCATAGCGGGATAACTTTCTGTCGTGTCAGCAACTTTTCAATTCAATTGATGTTCAGTGCTACGTCACAGCCGGAAACTTTACCCGGTAAGCGGGATAACGTTTCTCCATATGAACAGAACAAAAGTATTTGGTTAGTCGAAACGTTTTCTCGTTAACCGGGATAACTTTTGCCCATGTGAACAGGCCCTCAGTATAATAGTAATAAACATTTGTCAAACGCTCGAATGAAGTGCATTAAAAGTAACATATTCTCTACAAAGCTAGCCTGCGTAGCAGGCGTTTAGTGCGGGCGGGAGAAGAAAAGGCGTCGTTAAATGAACGCCTGCCCAAATGCCTATGATTAATTTGTTCTTCTCCGAAGAATCTTCGGAAAAGCTTCCCGTTGGTTAATCTCGTTAACGGAAGTAATTACGTAACTCAAATGTCAACAATAATTTTGCTTGCGTTCACGCGTTAATAGTCGCGTATCAAAAATATGCCGCCTGTTAATGCTTTCGAGGAAACTTTCTTATATTTCAAGTATTTAGGCTTCGAAATTCAGTTGAACCAGAACAGAGAAAGTATATTATTAATTTGCTACGTGGTGAAGACGCCTGTTGTCGCGATTCTTCCTAAGGAATACGGAAAAGTTTGATCTTTCAATTATACATAGTGATTTTAAATATATCCTGAATATTTCTTTAATTAATATAGTTGTCTTGTTATTTGTTCACTTTAAAGTATAATTCAAGACC